CCGCGCTAGGCGAGACCATCTGCGCTGAGAGCGGCGACGGCCGGACGTCGGCGGCCGGACTCCGCGCGCTAGGCGAGACCATCCGCGCCGGCGCCGGCCGGACGTCGGCGGCCAGCACGTGTTGGGCGCCGTCACTCTTCACAGGAGGAACTTTGAGCATCTCGGCTGGTCGGGCTCGCATCGAAAGCGAGCAGTGTTGACGAGGGCCGCTTGTGGCTCCGCTGTCACCCGCACACGCGCGTCGCTCGCGTCACGACGTCTGTCGCTGGTTTGGCGCGTTTAGATGGTCTCTTTTCAAAAATGGTGGTTTGTGATGGTTTATTGGGAGGTGGTGGTGATGTGGAGGTGATGGTGGGGGGGGGATGCCAGCAGCGGAGCTGGGCTCATAAAGCCTCTGCGGTTGGTGCATGGAGGCCAAAAAAGAGCAAGGGCTGGCTGACCAGGGACGTGATGCCTCGCTGAATTCCAACCGTAAGACGCAAATTGGGAGCCGGGCTCTCCTCTCCTTCACGGACTCGAGGAGTGCTTCAGGCACAGTTCAGGGTCCAGTTCGAGCAAATCGGTGTCATTCATGCCGTCAGCTACGGCTGCAATGTATGCTTTCAAGGCCACCTTTTTGTTCCCGGACTCGCGGTTGTCGTGGTACACATTCACGACCATCTCGCCCTTGATTTCGTAAGAGAAGTCCTTCGTCACTCGCATTGTGAGCAAAAGGTGAGCCTCCACCGAGAATTGAACTCGGGACCTCAGCATTACGAGTGCCGCGCTCTGCCACTGAGCTACGAAGGCCTACCGGACACACCTCGTATCAAACTTGTTATTTCATCCACTTATTTCATTTTTGATCTGTTGCCACGTTCACTTCTACCGCCGGGGCGCAGTTTCTGAGTCCAGGTGGCCTCGAATGTCAGTACCTGACCGTCACTCTGTTGAGCGTCAGCGTCAGCTTGCGATTATATCAAACGCCGACTGGGCTAGGCAGGCGATTTCGTTTCGATTTTATTGCCATAGACATGCCACTGTCTCACGGTTAAGTGGAATGAATGATTGCTGGAGGTTGCACAATTCAGGCTAGGTAACATGAGCTCCGATTGCCAAAGAGCCCGACGTGCAGTGCCAGCCGCGTTGGCAGTAAAAAAACGTTGCACACATGGGACGGCAAGGGGAGCGGACCTAGGCTATAAAAGTGATGCGGTGTGATCCGGCTCTTAGAAAAGGCGTAACGTACGGGGAATATCCGTGGGGCCCCGTGGGCCCCCGGGCTATGTGACAAGTTAGTTATATGTTAGTCACATAGGCGCCTCCGGCGGGGCCCCCGGGGGCCCTGCGGGGCTTTCTAAGAGCCGGGGTGTGATCATGTCGTCGTGTCGGTTGTTCGGCGCTGGCTATAAAAGTGATGCGGTGTGATCCGGCTCTTAGAAAAGGCGTAACGTACGGGGAATATCCGTGGGGCCCCGTGGGCCCCCGGGCTATGTGACAAGTTAGTTATATGTTAGTCACATAGGCGCCTCCGGCGGGGCCCCCGGGGGCCCTGCGGGGCTTTCTAAGAGCCGGGGTGTGATCATGTCGTCGTGTCGGTTGTTCGGTTGTGATACAAAAAAAGAAAGTGATCGTTAAGAGAAAAAGTTAAGCCTCCACCGAGAATTGAACTCGGGACCTCAGCATTACGGGTGCCGCGCTCTACCACTGAGCTACGAAGGCTACATATCAGAACGTCTCCGAAGTGCGCTTTTGATTCAGCGAAACATCATTGGACTTTGAACTGGCCCTCATGGCGGACTCCCAAATTGAGCTGCGCCACTCGGTGGCGGCCTTCATCCGGAGCCTGAGCGTGGAGGATCGCGAGTCGCTCTTCACCGCCACGGCCTCGCCGCCATGCGTGCCCGCGCCACCGTCGCTCGAGGCGACGTTCAGCGCGGGGAGATACGGTACGCGCACGCGCCACCGCCACGCAGCAGCTGCGCGCCTCGCTGTGCTCACCCACCGCCGCCGCCGCTGCCACCGTCTTGCGCCACCGCGCAGCGTTGACCGCTGGCGGTGATGGCGGGCGTGGTCGCGCGAGCTGGGATGCGTTTGAGGCCCAGCTGCGCGCCACGGGGTTCTTCGAAGGCGCTGCCCCCGGCTCAGAAGAGGAGCGACGCCGACTGGCGCTCGCGCGCGCTCGGTTCGACGAGCGGGCGCGCGGCGTGGGGGGCGTGAGGGGCGCGGCTGCGGCCGCCATTCGATCCGTCGCCGCCGCCCCGCCCGCCGCCCCGCCGGCTGCGCTGCTTGAGCGTGCTTCGGAGCTCGTCGCGCACTGGAGCGCCCCCGCGGCGCACAGCGCCGTTGCGCCGCCGTCGCTGGCAGCGGACGCCGCCGCCGGGCTCCGCGACGCAGTCGATGCTCTCGACGGCGCCCTCGCCACCACCGCCGCCGAGCCGCTTGATGGCAGGGAGCGCGCGCGCGCGCTGCTGCTGCGCGCGACGGCTCGACTGGAACTGGGAGATCCCAGGGGTGCGACGGCCGACTCTCGGGCCGCAGTCGTGAGCGCGCCGCACGGCTCCGCGGCATGGCTGCGCGCTCACGTGAAGCTCGGCCACGCGCTCGAGCGGCTCGGCGAATTGCGCGCGTCCGTGGCAGAGGGATACAGGCCAGCGCTTGAGCACGACCCGGGAAATGCGGTTATAAGGTCCTACCACGATTCTGCGGTTGCGCGCGCCAACGCGCCGACGGCCGCACCGACGGTGGGCGACGATGACCTTATGGCTGACCCCGAAGTGATGAGCCTCGCGTCCACGATGGCGTCGCAGCTTCTCGCCAACCCGGCAATGCTCGCGCAGGTGTACGCCATGTTCCCTGACGGGATGGATGGCGCGGACGCGGCTCAGCTGGCGGCGCTCGCCTCGCATCTCGAGGGCGCGGCGGCACCCCTGCTGCCCGCCTCGAGCGGAGAGGATCCCGCGTCTCGCCTGATCGACAAGGTCGACTGAGACTCCGATGCCGCCAGAGGTGATGATCGCCACGACTTGAACTGTGCCTGGGATCAATGACTCGGTTCATTCCCACTGCCCGGACCCGATATGTATGTAATAACTGCATAATTTATTCCGTTCGGTCGAACCCTCTTCGGCGTCGAACCACTCGTCGTCGAACCACTCATCCACTCCCCGATCCAAAAGATTAACAATTTGAATCATAAACTTATTACTTAAATTTAAATATTGACGGGCATTTAAGTTGGGTAACAATAAATTATTGTATGTGTCTGTCTGTCCGTCTTTCCGTCTGTCCGATGTTTGTCTCCTGGAGACTTGGAAGCCAAAAGTGATGCTCCACCCGCCACTCGGGCGGCGTCCAATAACTAAGTCGTGGGGAAAATCCCGCTTTTTTTTTCGTTTGAACGGCCGAGCTCAGCCGCAACGGGCAGGACACGGTAGCTGAGGCCCGCCTCCAGTCCGTGCGAGGGCCCTCTGCAACGTTCGGCGATGGACACGCTGCTGACCGAGCTCCACGAGCAGGAGTCGCGGTATCACGACTCGCTGCTCAAGGGCCCGGGACTCGACGTTCCGAGACTCACGGGCCTGCCCGTCAACCGCGCCGACCGCGTCTCTTCCTCGCGCAACTCGCTCCGCGCCGAGCTCGAGCGCGCGCGCGCCGAGCAGCTGCGGCTACAGGAGGCGGCGCGCTCGCAGTCGGTCCAGCTCGAGCAGCTGCGCTCGCAGTCGGCTGCCGAACTCGGCTCGCTCGAGAGCCGCGTGCTAGAACAGGAGCGTCTCCGTCGCGAGGAGGCGGCCCAGGTTCGCGAACCCGGCTGCGCCACCTTCGACGAGCGCGCAGCTGAGCCAGCAGGGCGAGGCGGCCGCGCGATCTCGCTGGGCGCGGCGGATGGCTCGCATGCGCAGCCGCCGCTGCCGCTGCCGCTTGCCGCTCCCTTCGCGCAGCCGGGTTCGCAGCCGGGTTCGCTGGACCTCGCGGTTGCCGTCTCTCTGAACTCGGCGCACATTGGGCGCATCGAGCGCGCGGTGGACGAGCTGAGGACGCAGCTTGGCTCGATCGACGCCAAGCTCGCGCACGTCCTCGCGCTCGGCTCGCCTGCGCGCGACACGCCCCGCTCGCAGCCGCGGAGCCGGTCACTCTTTGTTGCCCCATCTGACGCCGACGTCGCCGTGGCCGCGCCCGGGGGTCCGCACTCAGAGGCCGACGCGGCGCTCCGCCGGCTGAGCCAGATGACGAGCAAGTACAACGCGCTCAAGGAGAAGCTTGCGCGACAGACGATCCGCGAGGCCGAGCTGCACGGCTTCCTCCTCACGCAGTCGGCGCAGCAGCAGCCGCCCTCGCATGGGAGCTCGCCAGCGGACTCGGGCCGCGCACAGCCCGCGGCCACACCGCGCCCCGCCTCGGAGCGCCGCGCGCGCGGGCGGACTGCAAAGACCGCGCGCTCCACCCGGGAGGGCAGCGGTGCAAGCTTCGCCGCGCGCGGCGCGGAGATGGCGAGCGCAGCAACCGTGGCGTCTCTCGCACGCGCGGCCGCGCGGCCAGCGTCAACGCCGCGCCCGTCATCCGCGCGAGCATTGACGGCGAGCACCGCCGAGGGGATCGCGCTCACCGACGTGGCGTCAAGCCGACTTAACCTAAGCTTGCGAGTGCCTGTCTCAACCGATGTTTCTGGCAAAGAGAACGGCGCGCGTCCCCTAGCCGCATGGGGCGGCGCACACGCTCCGCCTCACGCCAAGGCTGCGGCGGCCGCCAGGCCAATGAGTGCGCGGCCCGCTGGCTGGCGCGCCTGAGCATGCTTTGACTGGCTGCGCGCTTACCAATCGACGGGTTCCGATCAGCGCGCCATCGCCCATCGGCCGACGTTTAAGCAGACTAGCCTCGAGAGTCGAGAGGCGAGCCAGTCACTCGCCGATGTAACTAAGTGAGTCACTAGTTGGCTAGACCCCTGAGACGGAACCTAATCCTATCCAAACCTATGCAATAGGATAGGTGCGCACTGCTCCCATTGGTCTCTATTTCGTGATCCGGAGCTCAGCCTTGGAAGGTGGATCTCAAGAGGCAAATAAAAAGCCTCGGCCCATCAGAACCTCCTCAATAACTAAATAATTACTAATAATTAAATGCCGATGTAAACTAAATAACTTTTTCTATCCAATAGGAAAATCTCAGGCTGGCCGATAGGTGCGTGGCCAGAGGGCGCTCTGCACTGCACCAGGGGTGCGCCAAACACACCTGGGGGTGTGTACAGGGGATCGCGGGCAATAAGAACGGCGCCTTTTGAGGCTGAGGCTGAGTTTCTTAGCAAATTACATACACACTATGCTTAACTTTGCTTAAATTACATACTAACAATGCAAAAAAAGAGGCTCAGTTTCTTAACACGACGGTTTCTTATTGCCCGCGATCCCCTGTAGGCTACCCGGACCCCACATATCACGCCGAGCCCCCCTCCGCTTAGAGCAGGTCCGCTTCGACGCGCTGGCAAGCTACTGGCACGTGCGCCCAAATGTCCGAAACTTGGCCCCCATGCTGAAATTTATGTATTTTTTTGTAGTGATTTCAAGAGATCATGACGGACCAATGGAAAACCGCATCGTCAATCTGATTGATTCCTGGATATCCCCATGCATGTCGTCCTGTCCGTGGTGATGGGTCAAAATCCGAATTAGTGGCCAGTCCTGGGGAAACTTGAAAAAACTCCGGCGAAAATCCTCCGGAGCAAGTCAGGAACCGGAGGTGGTGCCGCGGAGTTTGTTGCAGATTCGTGAATTGGGCGGTTCAGTTCACCGCCCCATTCACGAATCTGCAACAAA